GCGCCTGACCCATGTCGATTAGCACGTTCTTTGGATAGCTGGGTGGGCAGAACTGTCGGAGGCTCGTAACCTTATCACACGCATTCAGTTTACAATGGTGTCGTTTCTCGAAACCGTTGCAAAGGTTTTGACGCAAGGTTAATTTAACGAACGAAGACTGATAAATTAGTTCTTAAACAGAGAACTATTTTCTTTACCATCAAGATCCCGACATCAGAGCTCACACTGCAAACCAATGAGGATTATCTTTACCCACGTGTATTGGTTCACATCAGCATTTTTCTTAGGGTGAGCTGATAATAGCTAATACGTAGATGGGTCGAATTCAACCAGTCTGAAAGAGTAATATCACTGTCGGTTCTCACGTTCAAGCTAGAGAAGTTCAGTTCTGCCACCTCATGGGGCGTAACATGCACTACACTAACGAGATATATGACCTCTGTTGTCGGCACTCACGTAATCAATACTTCGGTCACTCCTATACTGCGGGTGAAGGAACTTTGGAATTGCTTGGCAGTTGGGAGGCGTCACTATGTTTCCATGGTGACGGCAGGAACCGGGCGAATCAGGTTCTTGCCGTCCCAGGTTGCCAATGGAAAGAAAACATCGCTGTGTATTAGTTGCCATACTCAGTGTTTTGGGTTCGAACGAAGCATAAATGCTTGTTAGGCCGTAAACAGTTACGATTTTGGAGAAGAAATCTAGTAAATATGCCAAAGCTTATGCGTTTGGTAACACTGCACTGTCTGCCTACTGGCTGTCAATACCAAAGAACGAAGTAAAGTGAAACGTGTGTTAAGTATTAAAACTTTTCGTGAAACAGTGGTGTTTTAGAGAGGTGATTGCTAAATAGGGGGAATATTTCTTACAAAAGTTCTATCATCACTAGACTTCGGATATTTAGAAAATTGTCTAATATATCGGATGTTTACGAAAGGGTTTTAGTATTATCTGTATAATACTAAAACATCTCTTCATCCAGCGGGGTCATATCACCGCCACCTTCCACGATAAAACATGCACCGCACTTACGGGACTAGTGGGCTAATCAGATGACGAGTCTAAGGACAATCATTTTACGTTGGATGCCGCCGTTCAGCAGAGTAGATCGCCGCCACCTCCCGCGATAAAATACAAGCACCATACTTACGGGACTAGTGACCTAAGCAGTTGACGCGCCCGGATGATAAGAAACGGAAGAACCTTTCTCTTTGCGGACGATACGAATATTCTTTGCAATAAAAAAACCGTAAATAGTACAATATCAGATATTTCAAATTGGTTACGTAATAACAAATTAATAGCAAATGTAAAGAAAACGGTTTTCCATTTCAAATAAACGCTCTCTACTCAGCTGAAAATGGTCTGCCATTGACTGATGTAAAGGGAAAAAAAATAGGTCTTTCAATTCAGCGAAACCTTAAATAGAACGTTAATTTAAATGAATTGAACAATAAATTAAGTTCTTTGTGTTACGCTTTCAGACTTCTTTCAAATTCTAGTCAGCCTCCGTACTGCTCGTTGTGTATATTTCGCGAATGTTCATTCTCGCCTGAGATGTGGCATAATATTCTGGGGAAATATATAGTTTAGCTCCCAGACTTTATATTACAAAAAAGAATTGTACGAATAATAAGCATATCCCACCCACGAGATTCGTGTAAGCCTCTCTTTATCAATCTAGGTATCTTACCATTACCTTGTGTCTACGTATATGAGTCAGTGGTTTTTGTCAAAAATGACTTGCTTATGGGCGGGAATATATTTTCAGCAAACGCCGATGTCTATAACTACAATCATATTCATCAGGCGACAGTATCAACAGCTCACTAAAAACAATTCACATGCAATATATGTATATTATTTTACAACACCTTGCCAGATGACATTAAACGATTAAGTCGATACAAAAGTTACTATACAATTAAAGACTATACCGAGCATCCGAAAGGAAAGTATTATTAATTTTAACATTTAGTATATTATTTACTATTTGGATTGTATGGTTGTAAAGAACCTGTGACAAGTGTTGTACTTCAGGTTCTGGGTCAATGGCCCCCATCTCGATCAGGTTTACGTCCAGTTCCTGATCCTTGAGCAAATGGTTAGATGGCCCCTTGTTTTACTTCTGGACATAAATGTAACTTCAAATTAAGTTCTCCCCACAGCACGTCACACACCGTTTTTAACTGTTTTGGGTGTAAATAAATAAGCACAATCAATCGGCGCCCTATCTCGCCATTCAGCGTGGGGAGTGCACTGCCAACTCTCGCGATAAAAGCGTGGACTACACGTCGTGATCTAAGTAGTTGACGCGGAGGGAAACACCAACCAATCAAAGGGCGCCCTATCTCGCCATCCAGCGTGGGGATTTCACAGTTAACGCTAGCGATTAAAGCATGCACTACACGTACAGAACTAGAGACCTAAGCTGTTGACGTGTATTACTCGCGCAACATTTCTTGAACGATGACCTTGCTTCTCCCTCTCTGACACAATAAACAGTTGAAGACAATAGCTCCCAGCGTGCACTGATGACAACATTCCAAACACGTCTTCACTGGCGCGAAATAGAAACTTCTTTCTATTGAAGACAAGAACTTGTGTCTGTAATTAAAAAAAAAGTAAAGAAATGACCGAAGCAGGTGAAGATCCATCACAGGAGATACCTCGAACTCCTGAAAAGGGTAGAATGCAAATTATTGAGAAAGTTGCGAAGGCGTGACTGATACTCCAGAGATTGGCAGTCCTTCATAAAATCTAGTGGCCGATTTTGAAACTAATACCCCCACTCTACCCGCATTTCTTCAATCCATCGTTGAAGAAACGTTGCGCGAGTAATATCAATCCATCGCGCGTGTAGTAACGAATCGGTATATGTGTGTGTGTGTGCGCGCAGGGTGACGATGCCGCGCCAGCGCAAGTACCACTCGGAGGCGGACGTGCGCGCGGCGTTCGCGGAGCCGGAGCACGAGAGCCGCTTGGAGCGCGACCTGCGCCTGCGCAAGATGCACGCGGTGCTGTCGCGCGTGCGCCGGCGCGGCGACCCCGCCGCCCGCGCGCGCCCGGCGGAGGAAGGGGGAGACTGGGCCTACATTCTCCCCGACACTGCCCCCACCCACGCGGACGACGCACATCTCCACGACGCGGGACTCCAGGCAAGTACTGTTTGAATGCGGGAAGTTTTTGCGGCGAGCAGTCGACAACAATATCGATATCAATAGCGGGTGTCATCGAGAAAGAAGGGAGTTTGTGCTCGTTCGAACGTCAAAGCTCTGTCGATCTTGTGCGCGTGCGAAGTTCGAGGTTCGCATCTCTTTAATGCATCTGCGCATGCGCAGAATGGTGGTGATGTCCGCTACAGCGTGGATTAACTCCCTTTTGCACGGCATACAGCCTTTACACATGCGCCGTTAGTTTTGCATCACTATGGAGTTTCTGCACCCTCGAACGTTAAAACACTTTCGATCTTCTGCGCATGCGTTGTTCATGATTAGCCTCTCTTTAGTGCATCTGCGCATGCGCAGAAGATTGATAGTGCTTTCCGCTTCGGCGTGCACAAACTCCTTAATGATACCAAATTCGAACTGCGTATGTGCAGAACATCGATAGAGCTGTCGATTGCTGTAATGCTTGCATGTTGAAAACCTCCCTAGAGGATTTTCCGTGATTAAGACGTGGGTGACCTATCCAGCGCACCCATTTATGCTCGTACTGCCCACTACACAATACCGACAAGCCTGAGATGGTCCCATGGGGTATCGCGGCAGCTACGTATGGGCTGCAGCCGAAAGCCGATGAAGGTGGGTCCCAAGCCGACCTTATTCAGAATGGTTAATATACAGGAGAGCGACGTGCCATTGTCCCAGGTACAGGGAGTCCGCGCATTGGGGAGACTTGTGAAATGGGGCAGGGGGAGGCCGTAGGGTACTAATCCAAAGATGTCTCCAAACTGCGCACAACTGTCAGTCATGCGCGGTTTGGTCGACGGGCCGAATAGGCGGTCACATGATATATTAATAAATAAATAATAAATATATGATAATAAACTAAGAATAATTGATTTTTTTGTAATGTATATTAAGGTGAGCTTCAAACCTTTTTGTGTTGTATTGTTTTTTAAACAAAATATCCTCTTATGGGTTTTAAACAAAATGTATAGTATATAACGAAGTGTAGTTTCTAGCCTGATGGTACAAAGCGAAAAATCGCTTTGTACAAATACACTGGCGGAAGAAAAGTATTGCAACACGAGAACGAGCAATGAAGTAGGCAATAAGGGACGTTAGGATGGGGGTCGTACAAGCCGAGATTAACATTTCACGGATGACGGACGCCCGGTAACGTAATGGCAGCGTGACGAAATGGCGCGGTCGCGTCATCTACTCCTCGGCTTTAAAAGGCGCTGTCCACTGCGATAATGTCCAGTCGGGACTTAGGTATGCCACGGCGTCGCACTCGTTCGTCCCTTAAGCAATTGGACCAATTTTGTGCGGGGTCTGATTGGTCGCCTGTGCGAAGCAGGGTGGTCCTTTCGGCGCATTGCTGACCACGTGGGCCGTGATGCGACGTCGGGGCTGCGGTGCTGGCGACGATGGGTAGACGAGCATCCTCGTAGCCGTAGACCCTCTTCGGGGTGATCGCGGAGCACTGACGAACGTCAAGGTCGACTCATCGTGAGGGCGGCGTTGGCAGACCCTACGGCAACCCGCGCCGAGATAGTCGTGGCAACCAACCTGTCTTCACGCACCGTTGGGAACGGGTTACTTTCTGCAGGATTACAATCGCTAGCCCGACGGCCACTCACGTCAAACCGTCGTCGGGCACGTCTGGTGTGGTGCAATGTGTGGCCCAGCTGGGAGACGGAATGGCGTCCAGTGCTGTTCAATGGTGAGAGCCGCTTCTGCCTGCACGCAAGTGATAGTCGTGTGCGTGTGCGGCGTCGCACAGGTGAGCGCGTGCGTCCGGTGTGTGTTCGTCTACGTCACATAGAGACCAGCGTAGTAGTGTAGGGTGCCATCACCTACAACGCGCGTTGGTCGTTGGTGTGATCTTGGAGGGATAGTTGGCAGCGCTGGATACATCCATTCCGTTGTGCGGCATGTGCTACCTTTCTTGCAACGGGAGGGTGGTGCGCTGTTGAAGGAGGACAGTGCCCGCCCTCACACTGCCCACGCTACACATCACACTCTCCGCGATGTTCAACTGCCCTGGCCGGCAGGCTCGCCGAATTTGTCCCCGATCTAGCTTGTGTGGGACACGATGGACCAACGCCTGAAACGTTGCTGTGGAATAGTTGACTTCCCCAACTATTCTGCCTGCTCTGCGTGCGGCAGTGCAGGAGGCGTGGAACGTACGATTGAATGCCAGCGCGTGTCAGGACTCCTCGTACTGCACGCAGTATGGATGAGGAGTTTCCAGTCCATCGTTCTTTCTGTTGTTGGACGTGCGAGACTCACATGGCTCTGCCCATGTAATCATGGTAGTATTCTGTCTGTTCGTAAGAGTAAATTGTATAATGCTATCGGGGTGTTGCAATACTCTTTGTCCGCCAGTGTATAAATAAATGCATTATTAACAGCAATAGTTTTTTCAAGAATCTGTTCGTCTCATGAATTGCCTAATACGTTTCCTTGATGTTCATATCTGGCTGCAATTAAAATTCCCGCTAATATTGTGACGCCAACTGGTACCTGAAGTTCATTGCCTGAAGTGGGTATGATGCGCAAGAACCCACCTGCCCACCGTGCCTAACCATCATGGCCATCTATAACTTGAAAAGATCGTCTCCTATATTATTTCAGTAGTATACATGCCTTTTGCGGCTTTCTCACGCAACCGATCTTTATAAATGAGGTGTCTAAAGAAAAAGAATTTCACGGAAACCTAACAAATTGCACTTTGAGTTTAAAAATGTGATAGATTTGTTGTAAAAAATGCATCTCAATATTCATGTCAAATGTAATTGGCAGCTCTCACTCATCTATATTGTTAAATAACTCCTTAACAGAGCGTTCTAGAACCTTAAAAACACAAATTTTGAGGCTAATGGCCTCAAAGATACGTGCCTCATATTATAATCTACAGGATAAAATATTCTTGGACATTTCTATTGTATTTTTCCTGGTTCGGTACTTATAATACAACTACCAACGCTACATATAGTTCGTGGCATCGTCCGAGGTGGTGGGAGCTAGAGTAGGTCGAGTGGGTGGTGGTGTTTTCTAGTTAGTCGTGTGGCGTAAGCCACGTGGCTTGCTTAAGGGTTAAAAAAGAAAGAAAAACACTCCACTTACAGGACTAATGACCTTGGCAGTTGACATGCCTGGAATCACTAAGAATCAATTAATTCAAAGAGTACCAGTACCTAGGATAATATCAGACTATACCAAGCCTTTCATTATGGAAAATATATTAATTTCCAATCCATGCATTTGCCTTTTCCCATTAGAGTAAATAAAATCACAAGGGGAAATATTTGATGGCATAGTACTGTATCTTTGTGCACCAGTGTTCATACATGGTCATCTGTATCTCAGTTTCTCTTAGGTAAAATTATTGGACGATATGAAAGTAAAAATTCTCCAACATAGTTTAAGAAGAATTTAATAATAAAGTACTCGCATCAAATGTATGCAAGGTGATAGATAGCAATCCAATTTAATTATTTTTTCAATGTCTTCAATAATGGTGTGACAAAAATAGTTATGTGAAGTATCATCGATAACAATGAATCATATCACTTGAGTGTAGTGAAAAAACATAATGGAGATCAATAGTCATTTGTTAAATAATGATCGATGTAACCAACCATTCACAAGCAAACTTAAGGTACTGTGACAACTGTACCTTGTTATATTGTGTATCAAAAGATTTTGATAATGTTATGAATTAAGGGTTTAATTTTATGTAACAAGAGGGTTTTCCTATTTGTAAATAAATGTATTGCAATTGAATTTCAAAGATATTTTAGTTTTAACATTCTCTAGAGTGATTGTACAATCATAACTTAACCAATCTTTCACAAATAGTATTCTTCTTCTGTGTATATCTGAAAGTAGGTGCTTGCTTTGGGAGTTCTTAATTTTGGAAATTAGTAAATGTTTTCATACGTATGTAGGCAGACTTCCACGTAGGGAAAAAGAAACCTTGTTCACTTAATGAGCAGGTATACTTGTTGAATACTGTTTTAACACTCCTAGATTTCTTTGTGAAACTTTGAGAAATTTCACTTTATTAAGTTGATGATCTCAAATTCCAGAATATTCTAACTGAAACCTCTAATGAAGGGAAAAAAGATGTTTTGATAGTTTGTAATGAAAATGAATCAATTTCATGAATTTCTAATTGAAGATATATTTCTTCCTCCCCTCTCCTGCAGGTGAAGCAGGAACCTGAAGATCCTGAAGAACCTGAAGTGGACGATGTAAGTTTTTCCATTAGCACTTTTATATTCAATGACTAATACAAATTAAACTTTAACTAGAGGTAAAAATATTGAAAATGAGATGAAATATTGAAAGAATCTTTCTGAGCCATGTATTTCATTTGCCAATTTGTGAAATATCACCCATCTTTACTATCCATAATATATGTAATTGGAGAGTAACTTGTTCACTTTTGAAGGAAATGTAATGAAATAAACAGAATATTATGTATCCTTGCACTTCCCCATTTACAGTCTTAAGCATTAGACTGCTATTTCCCGAGATATCAATTGCATTACTTTAATAAGCTACAAGATTACAAATTTTTTTTCAATATCATTTTTATATAGTTGCAGAAAAAACGTTTGCATTTCGTATATTTTTGTTTTGTTTTTTCAGTGATCAAGATTGATTGATTTTTGACCAACAGTCAAATGAGGTCTCAATCTGGACCATCAAAAATCATTCTGGAAAAATGACTTAAATTGTTGTTTTTTGTGACCAAAACCATAGAAAAAATCAATCAATTTTGACCAATAAAACTCAAATTGCATAATTAAAATGAAAATAATTATTTTATTACTTTTCTGAATTTTCGGAGGTGGCCAAATTATTAGACTATATTTATTGAATGAGACAAAGATATATTTGCAACCTTAGATCTTGTGAGTGAACGGTGTGTTCTGGTTCTAAAGTTTTATAAACATGCTCTTTTCACAATTAACATATTTGTTGTATGTTGTATGGCAACAATTAACATAGTTGTTGTATTTTTGGTTGTATGGCCTTCTTTTCTTTAGTGTCTTTTAACTATAGATCAAATATTTTTTGTAAGATTTGTGTCAGGGCTCTTCACAGCCCAGTGCAGCACATTCTAAACAATGTCTGGATATTTTCCAATACTTTTTCCTGTTGTGGCATGGAGTTTAGTCTTGAATAAACATTGATCATTTTTTCCAATCCACTTGTTTATTTGAGGGAATCATTGGTTCTTTAGCTTCTCTAGATGTTGGTGGACATTTCATTAAATCATTGACATTACACTTCAAACCATTTTTTTAGTCAGGAGCTTCCCAGGATACACTATATTCTGTTACGGAAAATTTATTTAGTCTAATAATTTGGCCACCTCTGCTTGTATTGGTTGGAAAATGAAAATATTATTTCATTTCAAAAATATGTAGTGCATTTTCCACTGTATTATTTATTTATTCTCTTGCTTGTATTACAATAATATATAATACATTAATATATTACACTAGAAAGTACAAAATACAAAGTTATAATATAAGTTAATTTTACAGTAATTTTTTAAATGATGTTTTGATGTGAAGTGAGGTGTCTATCATTTCTTCTTGAATCTCTTATAAGGGTATCTTTTGAATGATTATTAGCAAAAGGTTGTAGTTGGAAAGTATTTTTTTTTATTCTGATTTACTACTCTGAATTTTAAAGGGTTAACTGAATATTTTTAAGTGCTCAACTAATGTATTATGAAAGGGCTTGTTCTGGCTTTCATATGTGTTACTAATGTACATCAGCAATATATTAATCATAAATGAATATGGAGTCGCTGTCCGCTACTACTAGTGTCTTCTACTACTCATACTACCAGTGTCTTCTCTATCCATACCTGACACTTTCTCCTACATCTTTACACTTGCACCTACTTTGACTCCTACTCCTCCCACTACTTAACTGCATATCCTCTATCAGCTCACCAAACTCCTTACTACACTTAATCCTGTCTACTTACTTTGTACTCCTACTTTAAGACTACATTTACCCTACTCTTCTTCTTTAGATCTTACTACTGACTGACATCATCTTATAATCTCTACGATCTATTTTCTCCTATTTCTTACTCGCTACTTTGCTCCTCCTATACTTGGGGACGATTACATAATTCTCCTACTCCTACTTTGACTCCTATTCCTAGGCCTACATTTGCTCCTACTTTTACTCCTATTTCTATTCCTATTCCTACCTACTTTTACTCCTTTTATTCTTACACCTATTCTTACCCCTGCTTCTATCCCTACCCATACCCCTACTTCTACTGACTACTACCTCTACCCGTACCCCTACCTCTTCTCCTACTTCTACCTGAACCCCTACTCTGATCCCAAATCCTACCCATTACCCCTACTTCGACGGCTACCCTACTACGACTGCACCCTCACCTGTACTGCTTTTCCCACTCCATAAAAGTCCTAGTTCAAATTGATGTCCCAGATAATATTAAAGTGGCTTGACAATTCCACTTATTGCTGCATACCGAAAATTATTGAACATTATGAAAACATGTAATGCTTGAACATCAAGTGAGTGTGAAGAAAATTCATAGATTAGAATGATTTTTGGTGCTCTAGCTGTAGGGTTCCCTCTGTACTGAGAAATAAAAATTTGTGGAGTACATGATTTGTTAAGAGAATATTGAATTCTTTTTATCTGATTTTATGTTAATTTTATAATAATTTTTATCTTAAAATTAATTGATATTATATTATAATTGATATTTATTGATAAAATTTCAGAACAAGCAATGTCGTTATGTGATAGTTAATGAATGAACATCAGATCACATATTTTTTTAACGTATTTCAATTTAAATGATATTATGCATAATGGACATACACTTTGTTTCCAAAATATTAGAAAATATTCCTGTTTGAGATGAAGTATATCAAAGTGCATTAGTTTAGTTGAAAATTAGCAATTTCACATTAATTAATTGGTCTTGGTTGCAGGATAAGAACAATGAAGTGTTCCTTGAACAGTGTTCCTTTATTAAAAAAGAAGAAATGGAAGATGATGTGGATGATGACTGTATTGCTTATGGGGAGGTAGGTTAAACATTCCTGGGATCACCCAGAGCAATATGGAATATCTATTGAATATTTAATGTAGTGATGTCCTGTGATGTCTTGTACTCTTGACATTTCAGCTCATCTTCTCATTCAAGGGCAATAATTTCCTCTTACACCAAGGTTTGAAAGTAGTATTTTTCTTTTATCTGTAGGTTTTAGTGTCCAGCGATTAAAGATGTAAAATAATGATAGTATCCCTTGGACTTTTTTCTCATCGTTTGCTTCTCTCTTCTGTTGATTTCTTATTGGATACTTTATCTCCTGGGCTATGCAGGATTTTATGTTTACCTGAAAGTATGTAATGATTTTTGTTGTTCTAAATTTTTTTCAACATGGTTCATTATAAAGATTTTTGTCATTCTTGGCAAACCCACAACTGCCTTTCTTGTTTCTATATTGCTTTTATTGCATCATACATTGCAAAATAACTTTCAAAAAGTGGCACAACTGTGCAATGCAACCATGTTGCAGAGTTTGCGCAGCAGCAGTGGCACCAACATGCAGGAATGTGTACTATATTGCTAATGAATTAATTTTGATGCTTGTGTTCTAGGCCATTGAAAGTAGTAAAATTTTAATCTCCTTTGTTTATTGAAAGTCCTCTTTTGCCCATAATTAAGTAATGTGATTACAATATTGAAAACTCAAGATTGAGGATTGAATATATCAATAACTTGTAATTTATGATATTCGATATAATGCAGATTTTGATCAGTTGTTGTTTTAATATTATTCAAACTTAATTCTAAATTTAAAACTCATGTTTATTAATTTCTGTTTGCATACATTACTTCACTTTTATTTTGTTTTTCATCTCTTCACTATAAAAAAATATTTTGTTTTAGGAACTTGAATTTTTGAGTTGGAATCTTGAATATTTTTGTCCTTTGGCACAGATGCAGAATGAGGAGGTGTTACCAGACAGTTTCCCAGTTCCTGTTGGTCGCCCAATGCGCATTGAAGAGGAATATGAAGAGGTAAGTCACAATTTTAGGAAAGTGTATCGCATATCCTATTGCATCACAAAAGATTGAATGCCCTACATTTATTGTTTGGGAATGTTAAGGGAGAGTATTTTTATTTCAGGGATTGGTGATGTTGCAATTTACGGTAGTTTTGAATTTACTGCATTGAATTTTTCTTGGTTTTTAGTGTTGCTTGTTAGATAAAATTAGTTGGTACATTTTTCTTTTTACCTTTGTAGTGAAAGTAATATTTTGTAATTTATTTGTTTGATATCTAGTGAAGATCTCTCAGGCTTATAAGTTGGTGCAGTAGAATATGATGATTTCATTAGAGTTAATGTGAACAAATTTCATTGAATCATCTTCTTTCAGTTATAAAAGTATAATAACAAAATATTTTAAGGAATGTGCTTTTGCCTGTTAAATTATTATTAAAGTTAAACATTTCTGACCTTTTTAAAAAAACCTATTATTACTATTTTTCAGCAGTTTATTTTAATGTTTTGACTCTATTTGGAATCTTTTTCAAAGGCTGTCTCATAGGGTTTGTAAAAGTCTTTGTTAAAGATTGAAAACTATTGAGTAGCATTTCATAGAAAAATATTGATATTTAAAGTTATTAGACAAAAACTATTTATCTATGGATGTTAACATGTTAGTGGCCAGGTGATTTTGTCATGTAACCTGTATGTGTCTGCTTAAAAAAAAAGTCAGTCTTTTAACATTGAAAAGAAAATATATTTTAATTAAGAAAATACACTTTCTGTTTTGGTAAAAATAATTTTCTGATGCTTCGTTGGTAGACATTTCCAGAATTTAGCTTGAAGATTGGATAAAATTTCAAAGCATTATTCAATGTTGTTTTTATATTTCAGGATCCATCAACATCAGAGAGTTTTACAGTTCCAGCTACTGTTCCTAATAATTCTTCAAAAGGTGTGTAAAATTTAGTTTCTGTGCACAATCAATGCAGCTACAATGGAATCTACAATTTTTTTGATTTCTTTTTAAGTTGATCTGGTTAAAAATTAAAATGTCAAAAGTTAAGAGCAGAAGCAAATCAGGAATAAAATAAAACCTTTATATTAAAGATAAGATGGTATTTTGAGCCATCCATATTGAAAAATTATTTTACAAACAATCCGGTGCATGAAATGAGTAAAGCTGAGATTCAAAAATTGAAAGAAACTATAGGTATCACTTCAGTGTGCTCTTATATGACCCTAGAGAATGGAGAATTCCCAGTTCAGATTGTCTAGTTAAAGTGTGTGTTGTGAAGGCATGAGAGACCAATGGAATCTCGCCACACGGAACAATCCATTAAGGTAAAGAAGAAGGACAAAAACATATCATCTAGTGTTGATGTATTTGAATTATCTCTAAAAACAAATTCAGTTCATTAAGCGATAGTGCAGTAAATATGATTAGTTGATTGCAGACTAACCCTGAAATCTTGATATTTCATAAATCTTCAGTGCTTACCTCAACGTAAACAACTAGTGAAGCCAAAACTCAATGTAAGCATATATGCTGATAGCTATGCGGCATTAATGAATTAATGAGAGACACAACTCTGGGCTGAATCCTTGTCAATGAAGTAATGGTGAAACCAGGGGTAAAATCAGTTGAAGTTATAAAGGGCATCATAGATAACTCAGCTGACCCAGTAAAGAAGGAATTGATGATTCTTACAAGATGTGTGAAGGATGTTTCCTGCAATACAGTTACCAGTGCCACAACGACCCTCAAGAAAACACCAACTTGCCTCACAAACTCTAATGGTGTAGTGATTAATATTTCACTCATGCAAAATCTCGTTATCTGATCAGTGGATAAAAAAGATGTTAGTAATGCAAACATGATTCGACTAGCACTACAGCACTACTAGGGTAAACAAGCACTACATTCAAGAGAGAGAATGATTCTAGATCAGATCGACCTCTCTTGTTCATTGTTGAGCTACCCCACTGCATATCCCACATCTGCATTTCAGATAAATTATTTATCTCTGTAATGTTTCTAATGTAAAACAAAATAAATTAGTTTAATTACATCAATAAATAAAAAATCTTATGATAATTAAAAGAAAATAAAAACTCACATATATACCCGTGTGGTGTAGAAAGTTCATTTACGAACAATATCCTATGGAAATACAATCATCTAGCCACTGCAGTGAATCTTAAGCAACAGAGTATCGAGGAGGATGCAACTGAATGCCTTCTGTGAGGTTAGGTCAAATGTCAAAATGCACGCTGATGTTATCTGACACCTAGGGTGATAACAGTTCTAATGCATACAAAATAAGCCAGTGCGAATAACTAAGGGTTAAATATTATTTTTCAGTATTTTTATAAGTGTAGTGCACCATAGTGAATTCAGTTGCAGAAATGACACTTTCATTAAAACTTTGGAATTAAAAACACTCAAAGATTTGTATTTTTAGTGTGTCATATTTTTAAGATATAATCAAGAGAAGTGGAAGTGATAGTAGGATACAAGTTGGAGTATTGTAACATTATGTAACTGTATCAAGTAACATGAGATGGTATATTCTGTTGTTGAATCATCAGTTTAATCTTGCAATTTTTTTAAGGTTCAAGAATTTAAATGTCACATTTATCATCCTACCCTATTTGAACTTTATTCACATGAAACAGTTTAGAGAACATGACTTGCAAGTTTTGAATCCCAAATGAATATAAAAAATAATTTAAAATGATCTTCCTTCGTGGTTCAGGGTGTTTCATCAATAACAGATTAATGTCTTAATATTTAGTTCCAGATTACATACTCCCAGATGACGGAGCTGTGTTTCCACTATTCTTGAAACAGCAAAGTGATGTTCTTCGTACTCGGATGTCACATCATATTCTTGGTCAACAAGCTACACGCACACCAAACCAGGAATCATCGACTCCAACAATATCTCCTGAGAAACCCAGCTTTCAACTTGGCAATAAACCCAAAAAATCATCTTTTATAGATATATCGCCTGTTTCAAATGAAAATCTCAGTGAACGAGCCAAGGAAGTTTTGAAGCGTTTGGCCCGGTAGGTGAATTGAATGAACTTACATTTTCTTCTTTATAATATTCTTCAAACTTTTAATCCCTTCCTTCCTTTTTCTCTCTAAACTTCTTCGTTTTGTTTATGTTCTGTTCGTTTTTGTTCTCTCTAAACTCCTTTGTTTTCTCCTCGTTCTTTGTTTTTTCCTCCTCCTCCTCCTCCTCCTCTTTCTTCGTTTTCTCCTCCTCTTCCTCCTTGTTCATTTTCTCCTCCTGCTTCTCCTTCGTTTTCTCCTCTTTCTTCTTATTTGTTTTCTCCTTCTTTTTTTTCTCCTCCTCCTCCTCCTTCTTCTTAATAAAAATTAATATAAAATAAAATTAATATTCAGATTTTTCCCTCTTAAGATTGAATCAATACACAAGTCTGAGGAAGTACAGACTATATTAGCAAAATTTCAACTAGGTTCAACGAATTTTTATTATAAATAAAATTTCAGTTCACATTTTGGTTTTATTTATTTTTCTTTCACATTTAGGGCCTTCAAGTTAAGGTGCATCTAATACATGAGACGTAATCATGGGGAAATATGTCTTTTGTACCAGCAATATTTCAACCATTCAAAAGTCACTTATGATTATAAAATTGAAAACATAAAATCATTATTTTGATTAAAAGAATTAGGCAACCATTTTCTTGTTTTAGTGTCAATGTTTTGGTGCTTGGAGACTATTGTCTGCTTCTTAATAATTCTTTTGCATTTTCAGAATATGCCCCAAGGTTGATAAAAGAACTCACAACATTGTGAGTAAGAAAGTACAAAATTCACTTATGGTAAGTGGTATTTTTCTGAGGATATATGTAATTGTTAAATTTGTCTAATGAATTATTATTATTATTATTATTATTATTATTATTATTGTTATTATTGTTGTTATTGTCATTAATTTTGATTCTTTTTAGGAATTAGATGTTAATACAAATATGCAAACATCTGCAGCAAGCACTAATCATATTACTCTTACACAACCTCAAATGGTAAGAAATTATTTTCACAAATTGATGTAAATTCAGATATAATCAGTTTTCTCCAACTTGCAAGTGTATAATAAACAAATATGTAAATAGTGAATAGAGGAGTGAATTGGCAATGGATCTTTTCTTTTACAGAAACAAGTTTCAATAAGAACAGAAGAAGTACTATCAAAATCACAGGTAATATTATATAAAATTAGGAGCAATAATCAAATATCAGGAGCAATAAAAATATATCTTACAAGTGCATGGTCTTTTGTGAGAATGATACTTACACCATCACAAAATAATAATAAAACAATAAACCATATATTGTCATTTGGGGTAATTTCAGCCCTTTTGTTGGTAAATCGTAATTCAGCAGCCATTTAGGATCTGATGTTTTAATTGATTTTGAGATTACCATCTACTCAGGAGATGTCTCAGCTATCTAAATGTTTTATGAATATTTTTTCATGTTAATTGAGACCCATTGGCAATTGATATCTGTTCAGCTTTGTGTTGTGGCATAAGAGAATGAAATCAAACTATTTATTTGTTGACAGGTTGCATAATTATACAATAGTTAACATGATAAACGCATGTGTCGCTACTTTGTGAGGTAATAAACCTGTGTGCTAAACCTGAATACACTCGTAGTTACTTATATACTTATTTAGAGTTTTACATCATTTTTTAAAATCTTTATATAGCAGATCTTTAAATACTAAAAAAAAATTGATTATGTGGTGTACATATAAATACTGAACAAAATACCTAATGAATACAAGAAAAATGTTCTATTTAAAAAAAAAAAAATATACAGTGAAGACAAATAAAAAAATATGAGGATTAGTGATCTCAGTTCGAGGATGAGCAATAAAACAATCATACAGCTAATCCTGAACACAACGTATAATAAAAACACAAAGATTAATATATGGAAAAAAAAACATAACTATACAATGTGCACTCGATGAGCGACAGACGCATGCTGCCTGGCGGGGCACACGTAGGTCAGTAGTTGACAGTTGGTGACAGCCAGATACATCAGGTCGCCTATCTCCATCACTGTCGGATTGCTTCTATTTCTCAGACTTCAACTTGTTACCTACTTCCAGCAGTGGTAGCTGGTGTCCTAACAAACTGGGGGTTGAAGCTGCATCAAATGATGGGAATGGAACTTTCAAAATTCAGAACACTAATATATACTGTAATAAAACCTAAGCAATTCATGAAAATTAAGTAAGTTAAGGATTATGTCTGTTATTTCGTCTTTTAATTGTAATGGTCATTTGTAAACTCTGATGAACCTGTAACTCATTTAAAAAAATGAATTGTCGTATTAATTAGCCAAATGAGGTTTGTGACTTGACCAGTTTTTTATACCAATGACAATTTTTTTAAATTAAAATGCCTACTGTTTGTTTACGATGAAGCTTCAACAAACCTGGACAATAGATTTTTGAAAAAGGCCCCAATTAGGGTTGAAATGTTTAAAAAAAGAAATAATTACTAAAAAATATTACAGTCTGTTATATATATAAAAAAAAAATAATAATAATATCCAGTGGTCACACAAGTGTTTGTATTAGTTCTGCTTTGAGGCATTTATTGGAAATAGAATTCATACAATACAAAATTGAACTAGTTTTTGAAAATACAATGATCTCACTCCAGCACTTATGCAGTACAGTGATCACGCTCTGCAACGAGCACTATTATTTGAACTCTTTTTGCGTTAGTTCATTTCACGATCTTCCTGGTTACTGCTGTTGCTAGTTGGGATAACGAAATAGAATTATTTTGTTTAGAAAATTTCAGTACCCTGGTATGCATTGCAATAATAGAAAATGTCTTCTTTTCTTTCTTTCTCTTTCTCTCTCTCTCTCTTTGTGGAAATTTGAAAAATGTCTGTGGGACTTTATGTAAAGTACCCCCAAAAATTAATGAATGTTTTTCAAAATCGCAAAGCTTTAACTTGGGCCAGGTCAACAGGGGTTTATTCAGTTTAGAAATATTCTTGCACATAGTTTAGCCGCTAGTGTTTTGCACATACACCGGATGGTCGGACTTTTTCCTGGCAATCGATTTTATCAAGGACCCACAAAACATGGATCTGGATACACCATGTGTTAGAGGATTTTTTTCTAAATTCAGCAACTGGATTTTTCCCTTTCATTATTAGGGCCAGGCACTAAGAGTTTTCCTCCCAAAAATTCACGTTTTTTGCGCAGCATCTTATAAATTTCTCTCTATTGCATAAGCTGTTGCAAGTAAAAATCCTATGAATAGTTAGGCCTAGTGTTGTTGAGGGACTGAACAACAGATTTGAAATAATTAACTTCTTCGTTATCAGAGGAACTTAAAACGTGTCTTTCCATTGGAATCTCAATTTTTTCCTTTGGGCATTACATACCTTTATCTATACTATATAAAATACTCTTGTATACGTATCTATATGTAAAAGTAAAAAAAGTTGATTGATTCCCAAACGAGCGAGAGTTCAGAGAATACTTTGTTCACATACCTCTTGAAACATTCATTGCATTTGAAGAGGCTAAAATAAATGGCAAGCGCAGGAAAAACTTGGCCTTATTATATTTCATCAGTGGCCAAATTACCTATTTTCCTGATATACTTTAGTCATATTTCTGAATTTTGAATACTGTAAAATGTCTAAACTGGAACCTGCGCAAGCCGGAAACTTGCCTTTACCGGAAATTTCTCCGGCCAGTGAAATTATATGGCGTTATACACAGCATGAAACTGAATCTGGTCAATGTGTAAACGGAATGGGTTTTCAAGTCCCACAGGGGGGGAATTCTTTATAAGACGGAATTCCTGTGAATTTAATGCAATAGGCAGAGAGATGCCAGATATTCTCAATGATTGCATTTGCAAGACTTTTAAATTCTCCATACGTACCTCTCACACACAGCACTATGATGGAAAGAAGCTTCAGCTGTCAGCATAGAATTCGTCCATGCAATCACTTGTCTCTGAAAGCGTAGGGGAATTCCTTCCGACTCACTGAGCGTGGGAAGGTGTAGCCGAAAAAAGTTGTTTCCCTGCCCCACGTTGAAAATCATAACCCCTCGGCTAAAGAAGCATTGCTCAAGGCTATGTGACAGATGCAGAAACTCGTAGTTTGGGCTGTGCCACAGTGTGTGTTGGAAAAGTCAGCAAGCAGTCCGACTGCAGCCTCTAGGCAGTGAGGGGTGGGGGGTGTATTTTTGTGAGTTTCTCAACCAGTTTAACAATGGTTGGAAAAAAAACATAATACTCTAACCTTGATGAAAAGTTTAGACTTATAGAATTAAGAGAAACTCTGAAACTGTCAATGAAGAATATTTAATATTGCTTCATTGGTGATTTCTTCCATAAATACGTTATATGTAATTTCTACTTTGCTTTAAACACTACTTTAGTTACTTCAGTTTAATAGTTACAGGATGGAAATATCAATATCACAAGCGTTATAAAATAACCAACTGTGCATAAAACGGAAACCTCCCTTAACCAGAATTTGTTTTTGTCCCAATCGATTCCAGCTTAGACAGATTTTACTATATAATACAACTTTTATGCTACTAACATTGAATATGAACAAGGGGGGATTGCCTAAATCAGACATGAGAAGTCTATGCTAATTTAAGTATGTGAATTGAGTATCACCTGTCTTCGGATTGATGAAAGCCTTAAAAAGTGGCTGATGTTGCCCTGTTTGACCATGCACTAGTTGCTCAATTCTTGAAAACAACCTGTAATTTTCATTATATTTAATTAAAAATTTATCAGTTCTGAATCTTTTGTAATCATTCAATTGGAATTTTTTTTTACTTCACAATGTTTTTAGAATTTTAATCACTAGCTAGTGTTGTATTGCCTTTACTGAAATGCATTGCTTTCATTGTAAAGAATATATTAGATTTTGAAAATTACTTTACTATTGACAAAAAGTATTGTAAAATATATTTATTTAAAAAAATTAATAACTAAATCCATTTGTAAAAAAAAAATGATATTAAAAAATATTTAAGCCAATAAACATGGTTTGAAAAGAAACTTCTAATCTCAGCCAAAAATCCTTATTCTTACCCCATAAAATGTTATTTTAAGGCAAAAGCCATATTTTAATTAAAGAATTTTAACACAAAAAACAAAAACAAAAAAGATGTGAAACAAACAAACAAAAATCCTTTCAAAACACTTTTTTATAATAATAATAATATAAATAATAATAATAATAATATATTAATAATATTAATATATTATTAATATATTATTACTTATTATTATTATTAAATATAATTATTAAATATTATTATTATAATTATTATTATTTTATTATTATTATTATTATTATTATATTCATTGATTATTATTATTATTAATTTATTATTATAAAAAATACCTTTTCCAACCATAATAAATACCTCATGAGAAATTCATACATCCTTTGCACATGCAAGTATGCCAACCGACGTATTGAACTACAATTAATGAATATTAAACTTATTTAGAACATTACTTGTTGTAGGATCCATTTCCCCTGAAAGCAGTATGTACACCTTCACAAGCACAGGTAAGAAATCAAATCAATATACCCAAGATTTAAAAAAGCAAAATTCTTTTAAAACATTTCATTGGACTTGCCAGTGCTCAATTTGTGTGTTAATAAACAATTGAAGTTCAATATCGATTTACTCAAATAAAATGGCATGAATTAAATAATGACATAAGTATTTTTTTTCTGTTTCATTGCTGTTTTCATTTATGTTTTTTTTAAATTCTTCTTCAGCTTGTTAAATTGAATTAATTGTGAATTTTCTTCTTTTTCGTTCCTTACTTTTTGCTGTTCAGTGATTAGCCTTTTTTATTTAAACGAAAATTAAATAAAATACTATTAAAATTCTGTTATTTGATTATAATGAAGATTATTGTTGTTGTTGTTGTTGTTATTATTATTATTATTTTATTAATTGAATAATGGTGGCAGCAACAAGCTGTTATACACATCTCATAATGCTGTAATAATGTACGTATAATTATAGTTTGTCATTTTGGTGGGTTGATACAATAAAAAGGTCTGAACATAATATAATAGTTATTATGTAACAGTTGAATATGAAAAATCTTTTTTGTAAAAGCATTACATTTCTTTAGAAAATTGCATGAAATCACCAAATAAAATTCAATTTTATTTTTATTTTATTCAATTTTATTTTTATTTATTCAATGATAATTTTATAGATTTTTAACTGCAAAATGCAATTTTAATAGCAATCAAAATGTGAATAAATCCAAACTGAATTAATACTGTAAAAACATCAGTGCTCTATACTATATGATTTGATTCAAACCCAACTCTTAACCATATTTTTATCCAAAGATTTGGTCACAAACTTGTTTTTAAAAAATTATCAAAACTGTCAACCCCTCATGGTAATTAACTTCACCTACTGAAAGTAATAAAGTTCTTTAGTTCTCACTATTTCAAATATATTATTTTTTTTACATAAAAAATTAAGTTTTATTTACTAGTTAATAAAATTATTCAAAAAGATAAGATGACAAATTGCAATATCATTTGTAAAATATAAGATCAAATCTGCATTAGCAAAAATTAAAGCATGAAAAACACAAGCAGATATTGCATCCATGAAATAAAAATGCAAATTAAAATAAGTACATATTAAAATAATTCTAGTAAAATAAAAAAAAGCAAGTTAAAAATGATCTTATTATTGCATTCTAATCAAAACTGTACATAAAGGATTTTCTTCTTATAGATGACTTCATTAGAATTTACAGTGAAGTGATACTGATGTGAAGTTTGTAATTACTTGGCTGTCTGGGAGATGAGGGCTGCCTGCGAGGCACTGATGCCAACATTTTGCGGCCGTTTTGCTGTGATCTTTCTCAGGCAAAAAGCCATTTCGCCCTGAGGAGAGTTGTAGAATGGCGACCAAAATGTTGGCATCTGTACCTAGGGCACGGTGTCTTCAGACAGCCAAGTAAATAGTGACTCCAGCAATGGAAGCCTATACACTGATGTAATGTTTGTGCTTCACATTGTTTTATGCAAAAGTAAGAATGTTTTGGTTCACTTCTCACAAGTTAAAACACATTAAATTTTTTATAAGATTTGTTACTACTATATATTTTAAACTAATCAATAAATACAATAAGTAATTAGTCACAAGGAAAATCAATTTTTAGCTTTCATGACCTCCAAATTTTTGTCTTAAAACTAACTGGTCCTAAAAATGTTGAAATCGACCCCAAGGGCTTGATACGGAGCACTTTGAGAGTGGTTGCTCTAAACACCTTTGACACTAACGAGTAGATACTATGCAGTCTGTGAAATACGTATGCATTTTTGCTGTAAAAACTTCAAAAATGTGCCCTAAAATATGCCCTCTAAATTATGTATATTACACCACCATAACACAGGTTTTCATAATTTTTACATACATCCAGCTTTTATTCTTACTATATCGCTGAATGAAATTTCAAAGAAAGAATTAATAGTATCAGCTAGTACTTTTAGTTACAATGGATGGGGTCTGCCACTAAATACATTTTACAATGTGCATCAGAACCACCTTTGGCTGGAACACAATTCCTATAAACTTTAGGAACCACCTTCATGCTATTGAAAAGCATTCCTTTCTTTTTACATTCTGTTTTGCTCTCTACATCCTCTGTGAAAGGTGGGAGTTCAAATTACGTGTGTTAATTTATCAATGTTACTGATTTGATGATACGTAATACACTAAACAACCGTAATTTTCCTGTTAAATATCAAGCAAAATTCAGATACAGGAAATTCATATTAGCTGCTATAAGCACATTTACTAAAATACACATTATAAAAATAAATATTAAATGAAATATGAATAATGATAAACATTTTCCAGAAAATATTCAGAATAATTAGCAATTTGTATGAATATGAAAGTAGGCCATATATGCAAGATATACTAATAAAATCATATTTAAACAATTGGAAATTGGGCGTTTCATGCATATACCAAGAGAGTATAATTTCTGAGTACAGGAGGAAAATATGCATTTGCACTGAAATTTGGTCTTTGCCAATGAGTCAACAACAGCAAAGTAGCCTTAAATTACTTATTGACATTAATGATTAACCCTTAAGCACAAGTGCAACAATTCAATCTGCTATTGTTGCAGCAAAATGTGTTGTATAAGTTGGCAAAATTCATCTAATTAACTGCCTTTTTTAAAAATCTTTCCAGAATGGATTCTTTTATCAACTCAAATTATCCATTTCTGTTGGGCAAATTGTTTGCTCAGAAATTTTTGCATGGAAAGGGGTTCTGCAAATGAAATAAAGTGTGTTCTTATTATTTCTTTTACTAATGAAGTGAATCAAATTATTTTTGAACTATAAGTGTTGTGGAGAAAGTTTTTTATTTCTTTAGAAAGATATTCTGCAAGTGTTCTTTACCTACAAATGTCTTATTTTCTCTACAGTTTTACTTTGAAAGAACAAAATAAATGAATAATGATAATAAAAGAAAACAATAGAGAATTCTGAATGAATTTTGAGAAGACAGCATAGAGGATTGGAATTGAACCGAAAGAATATAGAGTAATAGATAAAAAACACACTTCAGAGTCAGAAGAGGAAGCAAATCAGTAGCAGGTTGAACTTGTTTCTTAAGAGGAGGAAAGTAATTGATTACATCAATTCTAAATGAAACAAGAAACTAATTAAATTACAGGGAAATGTTAAGATAAAATCCCCCCCTCCTCCATAATAAAATAAATGGCTCAGCATTACCTCATTACCACTCTTACTAACTGAATAGCAAAATGGTTCTCTGCAGTTGAAGATAGGCAGCCGATGACAAATTGATGTAGTTGAAAGAGATGTCTGCAATTGACATTTCAAAGGAAGAGCTTCACCTGGCTCAAGTCATGTTCCTCTTCTGTTTGCTTGAAACATTCATTTAACTATAAAAACTACAGTACTGCCTATTGAATTTTACTCAGACAATTCTTTAACCCTTCAACTATCAAGCTTTTTTGCATCTTTCCTTCACCATTTTAAAAATTTGCATCCTTCCATTACAGGGTGAAGAAGTTACCCTGCTGAAAATTCATTATAATAAATGCCATAATATTGCTTTTGTAAAATATTATATATCATGTTGTTGTTGAAACATTTTTGATGATAACAAAAATATAGGTATCATAGTATAAATTACAAGATAACATCCAAAATAACATGCACACATACACTTGCTGTTTACACAACCTCATAACACATTGTGAAAACATGATACCTAATAGATTAAGGAAGAATAAATGCAAGCTATAATGAGACATCATGTCAAAAAGTAGGTTTTTGCAAAAAGATATTTTAGGTAGCTATCCAAGAAACGACTACTTAAGATATTGAAATTGTAAATGAATTAGAAAATAATAAAAAATTATGAAATTTGCATTGGAGTAACTGAGTTACCCCTCACTAGTTGAATGGAACACTTACTATTAAGAACTAAATGTGAAATTTTCATTGTAATCAATCAAGTGATATTTGAGTTTATATGGCACCTAAATATTTAAATATATATTATAATTTCCCCCTTTAGATTTGTTAAATTTTTATTTGTTAAATTCAACACATATTAGTGTGAGTGAATGTTGTTTGTGAACTGCAAGTGGATCATGTCAGCAAGCAGCGATAATTTTCCTCTACAGCTATGTGACTCTTCGTTGGTCATGTAAATAAAATCAGGTGAGATTTGGCGTCGACTCACACATCACCTTGCAGGGGATTCCACCTCAAGGTATCTTTCCTAGATGGGCACAGCCCAAGCCCTAAGCTCTCAACTTGTGGTAATGTACATATGTATGTAATGTGGTAATGTAAGTGTGCATAGGGGAAGAAGGTAGGAAGAGGGAGGAAAGGTCATGCACGGTCCATGGCCTGTTTGTTAGGGTACTATGGCAGTTGCATGGTGTTGATTTGAGAAACCATAGAAAAATACCAATCAGAGCACCCAGCCATTAGAATGCGCCTCAAGACTAGCTGAATTTGACATAGGAAACTAGCTAGTGTTGAAAATCTGTGACCATCCGGACCTCAACCCTAGGACCTCTTAGTCAAGAGTTGCTGCAGAGAAGCAGCGATGCTGCCACTGAGCTAAACTCAGCTGGTGCTGCATAATATTTAATGAAAGGAAAATGGGTTTGTTTTTGTTCACTCTATTAAACTTTTTTTAAGGGTTTGTTTCATGTGTTTGCATGAAATCGCAGTGCAGTGTTTATGGGTCAGGGTGATGAGTACTAATTTTGTTGGAAACTGAAAATTGAAGACATTTTTCAATAGAAATTTTCTATTGATTGGAAAAAATTATGATTTTTATGATATGATCATGTCTGCCCTAGTCCAAATGGTATATTTGGATACCATAAAACTATCCAAAATTAGTTGAAATACCTTAAAGTGCCTGGGTATTTATTTATTCTCCACCCTGCCCGGCCCTGGACCTGATCAGTCCCACCCTGCTTCATGTGGCAGTATTAGCATCAGAACCCCCTATTGGGATTTCCCAGTATTACAATTTTTGGGGTGTAAACAAATTTGGTGTAACATTTCAGTGTCGCAAATCCCTTAGCTTTTTTCATTAGCTTAAATTCATTAAAACAGGTTTGATTTTTTTTATTGCATCTTTGTGACATGTCTTACCCTTCTTGGGCATTGAGCATATCACGGAGTAATCCTCCATTAACTTTTATATCGTTTTGTCTTGTCATGTCGTGGCTTTTATCTCTTCAGCCAGGGGCCCAGTGCCAGAAGTAACCAGGGTTCCCATATGGACATCCATCAAGGAATCCATGATGTCTTGAATTGCTTAACTTCCTTGACTTCACGAGGTTTAGTTTAGCAATTCAGCTATCACTGTCTTATTTGTAGAAATGGAACTCAATTTTTAGTGAAGCTTAGTCACTGTCCATCCCACTGTCCACTGTCCATCCCACTGTCCACTGTCCATCCCATTAAGTGTGCATTACATGATATTGCAAGAGCTTTTTGTAGAGTGTTCAGTTCACATATTGATTTTTTAAAACTCATGATAATAAAGAACAATTTTTATTTTCTGAAATGCAAAGCTTTTAATGGAAATATGATTTTTGTTTTGTAATTAAATAAACACTTTCTATTGGTTAAAAAAATAAAAATAAAAATACAGTAAAAAAAGATGGAAAAGTAGTTTTCACTAAAGTAAAACAATGAATACTTTCATGGCTGAAGTTACAATTAAAATTCTGCAGGGCTGTGGTCTGTGAGAAAGCTTGTTTTTCAATGTTTAGTCTGTCACTTCTTGTGGAAGTTCTATTTTATTAGTAATGCCAGTGTCACTGGCCGTATTACTTAACTATGCTGTGTGAGGTCACAGAAGTTAAGCAACTTGAGACACTTTGAATTCCTGAATGTGTGACCGTTTGGGAAATCCGGCTATTAACAGCTCCGAGGCCCTGGCCGAAGGGATAAAGAGCATTAACTAACTGCGTTGTGACAAGACAAAAAGACAAAAACTTAAAAGAGGATTATTGCAGATATTAATATGCTCAATGCCCAAGAAGGGCTAAGAAATGTATTGCAAAAAAGACGCAACAGAAAAAGTTAAAAATAAAATAAATAAATAAAAAAAATTGGCTGACATTGTCAGTGGTAGAGAGATTACATTTGCAGACCATTCAAGAGGGTTTTTTACACATCATCACTCCACAGCTGATGATTTTTGTTCCAATTTCAATCCTATATAAATGAAAGAACAAAAAAGGATCTTCATGGAGACCCCTATACCCTGTTCATCTGGTAGGTCCCTGAAGTAAAGAATTTTGCTCCTCACACTATTCACTGACTGGACAAGGTGTGAAATAATAAATGTTTAGAGGGCCATTTTTGTTTTGAGAACAGTAACTGGACACACTTCTTCACACCAGCTACGAACTCCACTCCCCAGTGCAGACTTGCACAAACACATTACTGGTCAAGACATACTTTCATCTGATATTTCTCCTTTCCAGCAACCAAGGGGGTAGAAAAAAGGCATTCCTTAGGGATGCATTATCTTGTCCAATGTGGGTTGGGAAGCAAGCACTTCTGAATTGTGAGACTGGAAGATCAAGTCAAACAATCATCTCTCTCCTGTGTAAATTAACGACATCACGGTCCCAAACGAAATTTTCAAAATAGTTTTCTGTAGATGCAGCCAAGATGGTAGCAGATGTAAATGTGTGTAGAGGAAAGTCTCAGTAATCCCTTCTATGATAAAACTACTGGGGGAATTGTCTTAGTGAATTTCTGTGTAAGACAAGGAGGATGAGTCTGAATGAGATCTGATGAGAACACATTCTTTAAAGATATAGATTCTCAAATGCAAGAAAATTAATTTTTTGAATTATTTATTCGCTCATTTATTTACAGGAATGCACTTTATAAAGTAGTAAGTAAATACATATAGATAAGTATATGATTTGTAAATTGATTAGATTGTTATGGAACAGTAGTTTTATACATCAGATTTGATGACAAATTTTGCATTGTGTGATATGCTCTCATGATCTACAATATAAAAGAAAACAAGAATATCGGATAGATAAAGTACAAATAAACTTTAAAAGTAAACTATTAACTACTATCTTTGTTAAAACAGAAGTTCAAAATGATTAAACAACACTATGTCATGAAACGTAAGAGAAAATTTTTGTTGCAGAAAGCTAGGAATATCAAATAATTTTCAGTTATATGTTTAAGACAATTTTTAAGGAGTTGCATAATTTTGTAGGGTCAGGTAGAAAAATGAACTCTCTCATGTATTCCATTGTCTTCACATGATAGTCTATTGAAAATGTGGAAGTGTAATTAATTTGTCCTACTGCTTGTTATGTAGAATGGCCAAACCTTACCAAACCTTACCACCTCTATATATAACAAGTGATAAATATTCCAAAAATAGTAAAAACAGAAAGAGACTCATGGGGATGGTGGAGGAGGGAAAGAGTACAGTTGAGATACAAACAAAAAAGAAAAATAATCATCTTGGTGGCCCCTCTATTCCCTTTGCACCCTGCGGTCCAAAAAGATGCTTCTGACACATTCAATGGATGGACAAGGTATGAAATAATATATGTTTTGCAGGCCTGGGGCTCAGTCGTCATTTTGGGAGCAGTAACTGGACACCAGGTATGACAGTTGTTTTTGTTTTTTTTAACTGCATTAGCTGTGTGTCAAATTACTTAATAATATTTCATGAGATTTAATCTGTTTTGTATGAAATTGTTCACAATAATTTTGTCAGAAAAATTTCATAATTTTTAACCACAACTTAATTTTTAGTATATTTTCAATTCATATGAAACAATTTTTATTTCTGTGTAGAGCCAGAATCAAATGCTGACTCTTGGACCAATGGCTGTAACAACACAGCAACAGGTATACTTAAAGAAATAAAATGATTTACTAATTCATGAAAATTCTTGTGGAAGTTCTATTTTATTACAGTGAATCAGTTGCAATATAATTGCATTTTGTTTTCTGATTAGAAAACGGGCCCTGGGGTGTTTCTTGAAAAAGCAGCTGTACAAAGCCAACAGGTAAGCTTAAAAAATGTTGTATTATGATTTAAATAAAACAATATTTTGTAGTCAGTATGTATGTAAGGCTACATCCACAGTCAGAATCACAAAACTTTGATACATTGCAATACTGTGTATGTACGGAAATAAACAACCTATTTGTTTGCATACAGGAATTAGGTCAGTTCATGCGTGTAACAACTGTACCTGTACCAACACATCAGGTAAATATGAAAATAACACTATGTCATGATTATGGAATTCTTTATTGATAATCCATCCATTCTTTTAGGGTTTAAGCCAAATGACATCTGTAGCAGCTGAACCTACACTACTCCAACAGGTAAAGGTTATGAAAGTATTATTAATTGTAGCCAAAAAGGAATGAAATTACCTTACACTAAAAATATACATATTTCTGTGTAGGAAATAATGTCTATGATATGAGGTCTTTTAGAAAAGTATCTGACCTTAAGCACACTTGCATAACCCGACTTTGAACCTACGTGTACATGACTGAATATTTTCCTGGCTTTTGGTTGCATCTGCTGCTGTCAAGCAGCATTTGAGTGACATTGTGTCAGTTTTTCAATGCACGGTGAAGCAAAAGTAACTTCAGGTGGAAATCTCACAGGTCATCCTGGACTCCATAAACAGTAACACCAACATCATGAACTGACAGGTAGAAAAAATTGACTCATATGCACAAAGGTTCAAGGTAGGTTCATGCAAGCATGCTTGTTGCATATCCATCAGATTTACACAAAGAAAAACAAGTTTGGATACTTTTGTAACAGACCTCATATAATCCATGTAGAAATTAATGTCTATAGACATTGTTCTTGTAGAAATTTTTATGGTAAACCTTATGAAAATGTTGTTGTATGTTACTAAGTCTCAAAATTGCAAACTGATGAGACTAATTAATGTTTTTGTTTTCATTGCAGGGATTAGGTCAAGTAATAACTGTAGCAACTGATACTCCAACAATTCAACAACAGGTGAACTTTATAAAACTAGCATTATACATTGTTGGGTGGCTATTACAATATAGTACATCATATGTAAATAAATCTTTTATTTTTTTCCCAGGGTTTAAATGGAATGATATCTATAGCAGCTGTACCGTCACAAACTGAAAATAAGGTAAATGTTAAATAGTAGTAACATCATTCCTAGCCAAGAAAGAATGGAATCTTCTTATATAAAATATATTCATCTTTCTGCTTAGGTATTAATATGTTCATGTCTATAGAATCTGTAGAAATGCAGCTTGTAAACATTGGGAAAATAGTGTTGTACAAAAGATATGCAATAATTAACGAGACATAGATAGAATATGTTTCATTCAATGTCAATGCAACTGCTTGATGATGATGATGATGATGATGATGATGATGATGAT